CCAGCCAGCATGCTGGCTGGGGAATTCTGGGAGTTGAAATCCACACAGCTTAAAGTTGTTGAGGAGAGGAATGCTGCTTTAGAGGAAGAGACCTTCTTCCCAAAGGGTGATCCAAGGTCTTTCACAGCATGACCCATTTTCTACTTTGTGACTGGTGGTTTCCTTCACCTTTCAAATCTGAAAAATATATGACTTAGAATTCACAAATGTTTACATTCATTTTATTCATTTCCATATTCATCTTTATAGTTGGCAGTATGATTTCTAATAAATTAATACAGATAACATGCACACATAATTATTTTCCAGGATTCAAGGCAGCATAAACATAGTAGTATGTTCTACTTCAATTTTAGTCTCACCACAAGTTGGTGAGATAGGTTAAACTGAGAAAAACTGACTCCTCCGAACCTCCCATTTAATTCAGGGCTGAAAGGGGATTTTAACCTGAGAATCCCTAGACCAGAACACCTTACTAAGCCTGAATGACTATTTCCTATTCACAAATAAGAATTTTCCTCTATTTTTATGTCTAATTCAATTCATAATAATAATAATAATAATAATAATAATAATAATAATAATAATAATAATCCTGCAATGATACCTTTAACACCATCAAACAACATCTGCCTATCCCAGGTCCTTGGGAAGGACTCAGTAGGTGGAAAAAAATGCCAAATCAGTCTAAACATCTGGCTGACTGATAAAGATTATTTATTAAACTTGTATGCAGCCCAAATCTCAATGCCTCTGGGCGGGTTACAACAATCAAACCAAGAAATTACAGTACAATCAATAAGACATTTAAAAAAAACCCCGTAAAAATAAAAGATGGCAAGCATGATGAAGTGAGAGGTCTCTCCCTCAATGAAGGCTTGGGTGAATTCACCTTATATGTAATTCACATTATATGTAGATCATGGGGATTAAAGTGGAGACTTTTTTTTTCCTAACTAGTCAAAAGATAGATGGGGAATTTACCTTTCCCAAAAATAATTCAAGAGTTCTTGATAACACCCTTTGTCTGGTTTCTTTTAAAGAAAACTCCTCCAGGCTTGTAAACTATAAAGATGGGGTGGTGAGACTCCATTGTGCATCCCAAGCAGAGACAGAGTGTAGCTTGTTCATTAAAATGTGCATTCCACTGTGTTCTAGAAGGCTCTGTGCTGTGTGTTTAACTATCTAAAATGTTGGTGTAAAAGGAAATTAATACCCTGGCTGGCTTGTGTTTTTCTCTGAGGCAGATATTGATGAATGTGCTGAGGGGATCATTGAATGTCACAACCATTCACGCTGTGTTAACCTCCCAGGGTGGTACCACTGTGAGTGCAGAAGCGGTTTCCATGACAATGGAACCTATTCATTTTCCGGGAAGTCCTGTGTTGGTAAGCAAAGTTCAGCAGAGAAGTTGTATTATTGTTCTGTAATGTATCAAGACCAAGGAACATCCTTGATGTAAATCTTACAATGTAACCAACCCTTTATGTAAGCTCAGCACTAACTTGCACGGTACAAGGATTATTATGAGAGAGATGAACTATCACGTCTTTAAAGAGTAATATGGAAAGTGATTATCTGGAGGACATATCGTTGATATGACTTCTATCCAGAGAGTCACTTCAGGTAAAACAAAATCCTGATATTGCTGAGTGATATTATTATTCAGTTGTTCCAATTCCTCATTTTAAAGTTCCAGCCTAAAGATTTAGCCAGGTAAAATAGGTATTTTTTTTACTCATTGATCAAATTTGAAATATTGTTTAACTTGACATTTAATATGAGAGTTGTATTTTTGTCAGCTGCCTTGGGAAATGAGAAGCAGCTTAAAATATATTGAATAAATATAGTTCTCAAGTGTTTTTTTTTTAAAGCAACAGGTAATCTTTATAGAACCCTTTCAGTACAGAAAAAGTCCTTGAGTCTTCTGCTGCATGTGTCATTTTTTTTTCCAGGGGGAAACAAATTCAATTATTGTGATACGGTGAGATCAGGATCTACCGGAAAAAAATTAACTGATAAAAGGACCAGTAGGAGCAGACTTACCATGCCACAATAAGTCTCCTGCAATTCTTCACACTTCATTACCTGCTGACCTTAGCTTTCCATTCTCTTTCCCGTTCCACTTTCAGGAAGAGGAAATAGCAACATTGTGCATGTAAAAATATGAATGACCCACTTACCTGATAATGTTCTCTCAACTGGGCAATCTGTAGCCATACCATGGACTATTGTGAGGTGACACAAGAACACCTTTGGGATAGACACTGTCTCTTGGGAGCGCTGAAAGCAACCTCAGCAGTTCAGGCATGGCCTTTTGATTTTGCACAGCAGAATTTGAGAACCAAACCTCGGCTTGGGGAAACTGTAGGTAACTGATGGACAGTGATGGGTAGCAATAATAGGTACCCATGATAATAGAAAAGGCTGTTCTGAGTTAGGCAACTGAGGAGAGTTACTAGTGTTAGAGGATGCAATTTTGAAACAGTAACAGGTACAGGCTGACAGATCAAGATTTGGGCAAAGTGCTTAAGAAGCACATTATTATGATTTGTACAGCTCTTTTTCTTCAAGAGTATATTTGTTTATGGTATATCACGCAGGGAGGTTCAGTGTACCCTCGTATTGTATGTTTTTCATTTGCGTACAGTAGAATGTAGAACAATCCTTTTTTTTTTTTTTTTTTTTGCCACTTAATTGAGCTGAACTTGAACTCCCACCATGGCTTTCTGGTGGGATGTTGTGAGAGTTGTTCCAATGTATCTCAGTATATATTAGTTGGTTGGGAAGGGCTGTAGTATCAGGGAGCTATGCTGTAAATTATACTGCCATAAATGAGAGCATACATTTGGAAGGAAGAGGGCTTCTTTATGGCTTGGGTATAAATGGGGATGTCTGTATGCTTTCCTCTCATTATGCCAGTGTGGTATAATAGTGAAGATGTTGGACTAGGATCAAGGAGATCCAAGTTCAAGTCCATTCTAGTCATAGAAGCCCACTGGGTGACCTGGGACCAATTACTCTTTTTCAGCTCAACCTACTTCACAAGGTTGTTGTGGGGAAGAATTAGAGGAAGAAATGCTATGTATGTAGCCTTGGGCTTCTGAAAGTAATGGGGAGGGGGGTATAAACTTAATTAACTAAAGTAAATGATCTTTAGTTCGTGGTGTAGCTTGCTTTCCTTTTTCCTCATTAACTGCCAGGCATGTAGGCTTCTTGACTTTGGCCCAGCTGTATATCAAGCAGGTAAATGTGACTGGGATGTGTGCCATTTTTTAATGAAGTGGTTTATGAATGAGGTGGTTTGACTTTGGGGAAGAAAGGCATCATTTTATTATTAGCTTTTGTTCAGCAGCCGGCTGCCACCACTGAGTGGTAGCCAAACTGGAAGGAACCCAAATCTTCACCTGAAGGACCTGCAAGATATCAATCATGGAAAATAGTCAGCATACTTACGTTGTGCTGCAGTGCTACATACTGACAATCTGTTCTTCGTGGTAAGTATATATGCCCTACGCTCAGTTCACTTCTGCCTCAGGTCCATGTCTTGCCAACTGCAAACACAGCTTTCAAAAGAAGCTCTTTCTGAGTTGCCATCTGGCAAATCTAGTTTACACAGCAGAGCCCAATAAATGGGAACTGTCTCCCTCAACCCTAGGTCAGGCTCCTCAGCCAGGAGTTAATTGTTGTGTACTTATAATCACTGAAGTACATCAGTAACACGCACAGTTGAAATTATCTATTATTCATAAGGAGGGACAATGATTCCCGTGGACAAAACCATCACTCCTTTATAACTGCAACAGATAAAGTATTGAAATGCTGACTTTCTGAGTTGGTATCATAGCACTGTTTACCTAGCTATCTTCTTCTGCATGTCCCAAGGTCTACGGTTCATTTCAGCTTGTTGAAATAGCTTAATTTCTAAAATGAGAGGTGTTGTGGTTCACTTGTCACTCATTCTATTTCTCTAACTTCATACATACTAGAATGTAGAACTTAGTTTCAGTTTGATATCACAGCTGGTCTTTATATTGTAAAAATCCTGAAGCAGTGTATAATAACTGGAAAAGCATTTTAAGAAACAGGATTGTTGTTTTGTTGAATTTGTTATACCCCCAAATATCAAAGTTTCTTGGGACTTGAAATGAATGTAGAATGCAGTAAAGCTAGGATCCACTTGAAATTGGGCCAGTCAAATGTTATAGTTCAAGGCAGAGCTGTCCAAATGGAGCTCGATTATTGCACTTGACAAGGTTGAGGGAATTCAAGCAGGAGTTTTTCTGAAATATAAAAAAGCAGGCTACCGCTGGCATTTTAAATAAGGATTTTAGAAGACTTTGTAGCCAACCTGTGCTAGCTTTCTATGTTCTTGTTCTGAACTGACTGTTGCATAAGGCAATATAAATCCAAAGAATGCACAGCAGTGGTTTTCAGAGGTGCGATTAAGTCAAAAATGCCACATTTCAAAGCATTTTACAGTTCCAGTAGATAATACTCCACATGAAAATAATTCATACTTAAAGTCATTATTGGGTAGTTAAAAATTCACTAAACTATCATTTTTACTGAAAGCAAAGCTATCAGAATTAAACCAGCAGGACCTTAAAGATTCTGAGGTTATAATGTGTTCATTCCTTCTGTCTTTCTCCAGAATTTTTTTAAAAATGATTACTTCATAAAACTAATGTCAAAAATGTAGGGTGGTTCCCCCTCTCCACTCATTTCTGAGGTGCAAAAGTCAGCATCAATCATTCTTCCCAGTGCATGGAAGTGCATTTTCAAGGTAAAAAATAAAACATTCTTTCAGTCAAACTCAACTCCCGATGATTCATGTATACTTCCTTGCAGCTTTCTTGGCAATATGGAAGTGATTTGCTCTTGTCTTCTCCTTGTCTAGCCAACAGACCTGGTATTCCCTGGGAATCTGTCTTAATTACTAACCAGCTGGGTAAAAAAAAAAAAATCCAGGGTAGAAAAAAAATCACCTTATAATGGCTTTCTTCAGTTCATCTCTCAGATAACCAAACTAGTCAACTTATATCAGAATTTTTTGGCGAAATGTATTCATGCTAAAGAGATTATTTTTTTCATATTAGAGGAAAGTCTTATCCATTAAAAAAAAACTGTATGATTCAATCTATTGCAATTTGTTTCATTATCAAAGAAATAGTTCTTTGAAAATGTGTCAACATAATTTGTGCTAAAGATTAATAGCTATTTGGATATGTAGCATGTAGTTATCCATATATATATGAATATGAATATAGAAAATATAATACTGTAAGGAAAGGAGGAAAAACAGTAAAAGTAATAGAATACAGGTAGATAACTAATCAATTGTGATTAACCAGCAGATTGAAAATATTACATGACTAATATATTCTAGAACACCATTAATAACTTAGAGTACTATAAGACATTTCATAGCCAATTTCTGGTCAAGAGATGTCTCTAGTGAACTGTAAAAATATCTAATAACCCAACTGAAATCAATAATAGAGAAAAAAAGGAAAGCTATAAATAGTAAACAGTACATTAAGAGAATACTCTAAATAATGTATAGACTATATGTCTTATTAAAGTATAAATTCTAGAACCTGAATCTGGGGTGCGGCACAATTCCATGTAAAGAATTATAGTCCAGAAATGGTTTCCTAATAAGATTAAAACCCTGCCAATATTTGTCTGGTTTACCTTGGTTTGTTTCAATGTTTGAAAACCTCAACCAGCGAAGTATGGTTTATTTTTGACAACAAAGCCCAACTGGAAATAACAGTCTGAGATGATGTACAGATCTTAGTTTGATTTGAAAAAAAAAAAGTTTTTATTGCAGCCAGAAGCCAACAGCTTAAAAAACCTACAAAACACAATATCCAGACAATAATATTATACACTATAAGGTGACAAAACACAGAATGTTCCACATTATTAGGCAGTGGAAAGCTGCTTGTTTGTTTTAATTGTACGTTATTATGCCTGAAACCTTGAATCTTAGCTTGTCCATTATTTGTTTAGGTTTTTTATCATCAGTCCAGGGAAATACAAACCATTGATTAATTGATTGATCATGTGCCATCAAGTTGGTGTTGACTCTTAGCAACCACATAGATGGAATTTTTCCATGATGATCTGTCCCTAACCTGGTCCTTCAAGTCTTTGAATGGTTCACCCATCACCACCTCTCCTCAGAGACAAATAGACAAAAAATATTCAATATATAGAACATGTGTTCCCCAACACTGAGGCAAAATAGTTCTCTCTGTGCTAGATGTTTTGGATCCTATTTGGATCCTGATCAAGGAATCCTTGCTGCTGGCTGCCTTTTTTCTCTATTCTTTCACCTTTCCCAGCATTAGAGCCTTCTCTAGAGAGATAGGAATTTGCA